AAGAAATAATCCGAAATCCCCGGAAACGCCGTTGAAAACTGAATATTTACAAAAAAGGTGCCGACGCCTGAACCCAAGTGCGGTCTCCCACAGATTTGTAACGAAATGCAAATTTATTTTTGATCTACAGATAAAAAACTTGGCGCGATCACAATTGCAGGTCTAAAGCCACATTTTCAGCATTTTTTATCTGATTTTGTGGAGATTCAAGATGATTCAAATGATTCTGAAAAAATTAATTAGTGGTTATAGAATCCTGTATGGTCCTTTTCCGGAAGAAAATATTTTAAAAATGACCGATTTCCATAGTTTCTTACAGAAAAAATGGAACTCCTCTTTCAGTTTTTTGACATTTTCAGGAGTTCTATGGCTCAAAAGAACCGCAATCATTTATTCTTCATTTTGTATAGATGAATTTTTAATTCGTCTGATAGAACTTTTTTTATAATCAAAAAACCACATGAAATTGCACAAAATCGCACTTTTGCGGTGTTTTTCGATAATGAAAAAAGTTCTATCAGACGAATCAAAAATTCATCCATACAAAATGAAGAATAAATGATTGCGGTTCTTTTGAGCCATAGAACTCCTGAAAATGTCAAAAACTGAAAGAGGAGTTCCATTTTTTCTGTAAGAAACTATGGAAATCGGTCATTTTTAAAATATTTTCTTCTGGAAAAGGACCATACAGGATTCTATAACCACTAATTAATTTTTTCAGAATCATTTGAATCATCTTGAATCTCCACAAAATCAGATAAAAAATGCTGAAAATGTGGCTTTAGACCTGCAATTGTGATCGCGCCAAGTTTTTCATCTGTAGATCAAAAATAAATTTGCGTAACAAATCTGTGGGAGACCGTGCAATGAAGTAAAGACAAAACACCTACTTTTAGATTCATAATTTTTTAAATGAACAAATGAACAAATTCAGTTTCTTCGATTCACTTGCACGTATCAACGAGCCGAATTACATCCCAACTGAAAACGATATTCTGCACACTCGTGTTCCGACAATGGGTGTAATCGAAGTAAAGTTCCAAATGAAAGGAAAAGTATTCCGAGTATTCGATGTGGGCGGTCAGCGTTCACAGCGGAAGAAATGGATTCATTGTTTCGACGACGCGAAAGCCTTGATTTATGTAGCATCTTTGTCAGAATACGATCAAGTTTTATTGGAAGACAATACCACGGTTAGTTTCAGAAAAACACCCGCAGATTCTTCGAGAGGAAAAATGATCCTTTACAGAACCGAATGCAAGAATCTCTCCAATTGTTCAAACAAGTTGTCAACAACAAGTACTTCGTCAACACTTCAGTTATCCTGTTCCTGAACAAAGTTGATCTCTTCGAAGAGAAAATTATCATCAAGAAAAGGAGTCTCACCATTGCATTCGATGCCTACACAGGTATGTCTAGCCCCCTATTTCTCTTCTCCGTTTTCCCTTTTGCACCTAGAGGCATTTCTGCCCCTAGTTGAAATGTGCTGTTCTGGCCGAGTGGTCTAAGGCGCTGCGTTCAGGTCGCAGTCCTCTCAGGAGGGCGCAGGTTCAAATCCTGCGGACAGCAAACGTTTTTTGCATTTTATATTTTCCGGTTTTCAGGACCACAAGAAGACGTGGAAGCAGCGATTACATTCATTGATTCCAAGTATAGAGCAATGGCAGATAACAAAGATAAGAATATTTATGTTCACAAAACATGCGCAACGGACACGCACCAAGTACAATATGTACTCGATGCCGTTTTGGATACGATACTGTCGTCTAAACTCAAGGGATGTGGATTATTTTGAGATGTTGATCATAATTATGTCTCGAATACTTATGTAAAATCCTCACACAATCGCAATAGTTCGGGTGGTCTCGGTATTTTGTCTGTTCAAAAATTAAGAAACCGATGAATAAAAATATATTAAAATGTTTATTTTCTATGTACACATGATATGATAGCAGTCTTTATAGGACTAACAACTCAAAATTACACAAACTGAGATTGTTTTTCAATATTTAATCGATTAGAGGAATTCGTTGAACGATGTTGGTGATGGGAATGGGGACTGGCTTCCTGACCATCGGATTCATTTTCTCCTTGATCTCCAACTTGACAGGGCATGGTTTCAATACCAAGTTTGCTCATTTCGTTTATAAGAAGCTTCTCGAGTTCATATCCAAATTTTATTTGATTCGCAATGAAGGCGGACAACACCAACCATGCTTCTGATGTGATGGGACACACAGACTTGATTCCATCCACTTCATCTGAAAAATGAAGAATTACAGTGTGTTGGTTTCTTGCAAAACTCACGAGAGCATCTTCGGCTGTTAACACATGACGAGCAAAATGAAGATTCTTCCTTCAGAGTCTGCATTTGAGATTCTGAATGTCGTGTTGTCAATGGTTTCGGATATCGTTGTCCAGAAGACAATGAAGTGCAAGATGTACACATGTTGGATGTGTTATCAGTACTTGAAGAATCAGTAACAACATCTTCCATTCTGCTTTGCGTCTTCTGAATATTTAAGGTTAGAAGTTTCAGATCTTCATATGATCTATGTACCTCAACATCCAAATGATCACTCTCCTGTAACTGCCCGGCTGCTTCATTCATACTGTTAGCAAGTCTTTCGAAATAGAGAGCAGACACTCTTTTTGGATATCTGAAGAAAAAAGAAAACAATTGGGAAAAGGTTTCTGGGAAAGTTTTCGGTCTCTAAATCGTAAATCATTTGAGATTTATGGGCATCGAAGGAGGGAAGGAGACAACACGAAAAGCCCGATGGGAAATGGAAATTGAAATTGAACAAAGGAAAAAAGAAAGAATGGATATGAGAAAAAACGGGAGAAAAAAAACACCCACTTGGCGTAAATTGCACCGAAATCTCGAAGAATATCTATGGATGTGGAAGGCTCTTTGAGCCGGCGCATTGTTTCGATAAGAACGGTGACGAAACGCTGAAAATGAAAAGATGGTGTCTTCGATAATAGTTAAAATTGAATTGAATCTATTCTGGGTCTAGAATGCATGTTCTCAAAACTTTTATTACCTGAACATGGATTTTAAAATTGATGTGATTCCACCAATTGACCTCGTTCTTCAAGTCGATATAAGCAAGGTACTGTGGATTCTCAGTGAAGACGTGCTCGAACATCCGCCTTCCCATTTCATATACGGTACCTAAAATTTTATGTTTTGCACTTGTTTCTGCTTTTTTCAGATTCCGAGTGACGCAAGTACTCGATGAGGTCCCCAGAGAAAAGGGGACAAATGTTTCCGAGAAAAGTTCGCGCCCGGTGGTGAAGAGCAAGATAGAGCACAAAAAAGCCAAAACGAATTCAATTACCATCTTCTTTTTTTCCTTTTTCTTTTACCCGTTTCGAGGTCCACTCGTTTTTTTTGATAGATAGAGAGTACCCGTGATTGACGTCACAAAACGACTATTCAGGAAGTTTATCTCATGGGAGACTAACGGATTTTTCTTAGAAAAAAAGAATGCGTTCGTAAAGGAAACATATTGAATATTCAGAAGAATGTGACGCACGAGAAGTTGGAATTGTTTTAGGAAGAGATCAGAAAGTCAGCAGATCCTATTAAGGGTTGTGCAAAAACTCAAATCTTGGAAATCATACTAGAAGATCTTATACTGTACGGAATATATGATTTTGCACATAAGTCGGAGGGTACAACAATTCGTAGGTACAATGAGGTATCAAATGATTTAGAAGTACAAAAGCATATCTGTGAATTTTGAGATATTTGTATTCCTAAATTGCTTTGTACCCCAATGACCCCAAAATTTATGTGCCCTCCAAATTATTTGAAGACTTTTTGTAGAAATCCTATTGCATATAAAGGATGCAGCTAGTAAATCATAAATTCTACAGATTCGATATCCTAGTTTTATGTTCTTAGGCTATCCAGTTCAATATTTTCATTATCCTTATAAGATTTTTTTTACTATTTTTGCCTTTTTGAATAGTCAAACTACCGTAAACACTCTGATAGAAATTTTTTTATAATATGATAAGGATTTTGTCAGTTTACCACTTCTTGATATCGTTTGAAAAAAAAAGAGATATATGTGATATGGTATCCTCTCTATTAGAAGCTCTATCGAACACTCCTTACCTCTATCCATTCTATTCCATTTCCTTGCCAACAAAGCCTTTTGATGAAGAGTCAACCCAGTAACTGGACATACTGCTCGTCTCAGATTATTCCAATCCTTATGTCTTGTTGTTCTTGACCTTCTGATACCTCCTCCTTCAACTGGAACACTCGTCGGCGGCCTTCTGACACTTGCACTTCTTGTAGCTGTTGGACTTTGTGAAACTGTTCGTTTCGGTGTTTTTGAAACATTGTTGTTCGATAGATCAGAGCTTGATTCACTGTTGCCCATCTGTCAAACAAAAACAAATTGAGTGAAAGAAGAAAAAAGAAGAAGAAAAAAAGATAAGCCCGAAGATCATGAAGGTCATGAAACAAGGGAGGAAACGGCACGGGAATGTGTGCTGGAGCAGGTCCTCGTGAAGCCAGGAATGTGGCCGATTGAAAAAAGAAGCAGCAAGGAAGGGAGAGATATTTGGGGAGAAAGAAAGGGGCGGAGTAATAAGTTAAAAAAACGGACCCAGTGAGTTCAGGTGAGAATGTGTGTTCTGTGTATTCACATGGACAAGAGAAGGTGGATCATGAGAGATATGGGATATGTCTAGAGTGTAGTGAAGTGAGTGAGGAGGGTAATTAGAGAACTTAAGAATTGGATTTCATCCACGGAAACGAACTTTGACTCAGTTTTTTTGTGCTGCTATGATAGATTCATAAAATTTCCATCTAAGTTTCACAAGCAATAGAGACTGCGACGTCGGATTAGCTTAAATTTCAGGTTACTGGATTCATCATACTGTGTTAGGCACTTAAAAGTTCTGGAACATTCTAATAAATCGTGTTTGCATCGCCAGTTTATTGTTCCAGAGGTCAATGTGTTACTCATTGTTTATTCAAATCTTCATGTACTCTTGAAGCTCTCTAAAAAGGTTCATCCAAGTGGAAAATGGAAAACCAAACGAAGCATCCAGACACAAATGAATCTACCTGCTAGAAAAGAAAACTGGAAGACATCCGGGGGCAGAATACGAAATTAGAAGGAAACTCTTGAACTAAGAGAGCATGTTTTATGGTTCTTTCCTTTTGTTCACAGTTTAGACAAGAAGCAGAAGAACAATTTGAAAAATGAAAGGACCACTGGGGGAAGAGGAGATGGGATATATTAGTGAAGAAACGGACCGAAATAGAAGAGGAAAAACGACAAGGATGTGATATGTTTTTTTTGTGATATTGAGAGGAAAGATAACATGATGAAATGGACAGCAAAAGTGACAAGACAGGTGGGATGAGTCTAGCAAAAATGTTGTGTTTTGAAATGACAAGCGAAACAGAGGAACAGTAGTCAACTAGGATTTTTAACCATGTCCTGAAAATAAAAAATGCTTGTTTTCAGAGTGTTTTGGAGCGTCGAGGTTTTTTATAGATCAGAATTTTTGAAAACTGAATAAAATCGTTCCCACCAGCCCTGAATTTATTTAAAAGGTCCTATTCCGGTCTTTAGGTGTACCTACCATTATAATATTTAGTACCCAATTTCTGCAGTAGCATAAAAAAACGGACCAATCAAAAGTTGCGAATGTCACCTGCACCCATTCTCTCAACCAATATTCTTGTCCGCAAAGTGTCACCCAGAAAGGAAATAAAACATACGTGGGCAGAATAAGGAAGAGAAAGAACGGAGCCTCCCGTGCCCAAGTGGTTTCCTAGGGTGCTCAGCGTCGGGATTGATGAATGAGATGGCTCCGTTTGAGGTTTCAGATGAAGTGGGCGGAATGCTACTTAGCGAAATAGTGTCATCCGCCGATAAATGGCTATCAAAAATTCACTTTTTTTCACTTTGAAGCATCGGTTCTTTGAACATGAATCTTTCAAACAACTCTTTTAGTGTAGTTTGTGTGAAGTGAGATATCCTCTAGTCACGCGTTCGTTATCTCACAGGTGACACAAAATAAAAAGGGAGTGATAAAGTGATAAAACTTTTGGAAGTGACGGGTCCAAGATGAATGAAAAATGTTTGAAGGGATGCTTCAAAAACTCAGAATGATGTTTTGGATACATTTTTGAAAAGGAAGTAGTCATGAAATTTTTCGTTGGGGATAAAAACAAGAGCATTGAATGAAATCTGTGGCAGATCGAGAATATTTTTCTGAAGCTGGACAAAACAAGGAGTTGCCCCCAAGACATATCAATTGAGCACACCAAAGCGCTGTCCTCCCCTTTTGCTTCTTTTTCTTACATCTCCGGGGGATTCCATTCACACGGGTTTTCTATGGCGGCAAAAACGCTTTGAAGGGAGCAACAAGCCTATGGGGGTGACACCAGCACACGAAATTGTTGCCATTTTGTAAAACGATGTCAAAATGGAACAAGTAGTCTAGTCTGGTGGTGGAGGGTGTATAAACGAGGGGAGGGACCAGTTGATAAATGATAGTTAGTCGTTACTCGAATGCACCCAAAAAAAAGTTGAAAGTGTAAAGAGTGTCTAGATATGATCTGACAAACAAGGAAGTTCGTTATAAATCTCATCCAACGGTCCTAGGTTATGATAAAATAGAAACCGCAATAAAATCTAAAAATTTCGGAATACTGATCTTTCGAACTTTCAAGTTTGTTCCACTGTTTCCTACCGTAACCCTCCGCGCTCTTCGAACATTCTTTTCCATTTCCTCGCTGCTGAATCCATAATCAGAAATTGGATTGGGAGAAAAAAGGGGAGAAAAAGTTGAAACTTTTTGGGATGGCCTACTTGTCTAAATTGGATTCCTGGGACAAGGGACAGACATCATAAAAATGTTTTATATAACTGCGACGAGTGAATGACTTTAACATAAAAAAGAACTTCCGCGAATGTTGGGAAAAAGGATTAAAGAATAATCGGAAGGAGTGAAGAACGATTTATGGTCTCCGGATGGTGTCACATACAAGTTCAATTCTTTTCTCTGCAGAAGAAACTCGGGAAAGAGAGGGTTGCAAGATTGAAGTCCTTGAGTTCTTCCAAAAAAAAAACGACTACCGTAGGAACGAAATCCTTTGGGGTTGCGTACTTTGTTCGAATGGAAGAAAAATCTTTAGTCAAGTCGGAGCTTTTTTTAAAAACATGATCGCGGCAACAAACGAAGCTATCAATCATTCGAACTTTTTCACACAAAAAAAAACAAGTCCGTGTGTTTTCTGGAACAAAAACGAAATGAACGGAAAACTAGAAGATACATTCAGAATGTGAGAAAATGGAGGAATACTGAATGAGATTCTAAGAAATGGATGAAGAAGTTTGAGTCATTTTTGGTTCTCTATTTATAGAACCCAGTTATTCCGTGGTATCTGGAGAGCCTAGGAACATTTGAAACGCATCGAAACAACTTCCAGATCCCAGACGAAAACATCCGATTTGAAAATCATTTCCGACCACCGTTTATCGTATCAACAGACCAAAAATGACGTGCGTTCAGTGTTTCTCGTAGAAAAAAGCAAAAAACGAGGAGGCGGCAATTCAATTTATCGGCACGGACCCCGTGCGCAAGAAGCCGTTTAAATGTGCTCAATCTTGGACGTCAATCTAGCCGTCGACCATCCATCCACGAATTTTTATAGGAAAAGGCGAAATAGTTTTCGAGATAGAATGAAAGTATCGTGAACGAAGCTAATTTAGAAAAGGGTAAACTAGTTAGGATCACTTTCCGATGTTGGACAACAAAATATTAGTTTAGCAAAGTTTAATTGTCATTTGCGAGTATGAGTTGAGAGCTCAAAATTGTAGTACGGAAAAATTCGAACCGTGTGTGCTATTCTTACCGCTCAATCCATGCATAATCATCGATGATTGATACATGATACATTCATACAATTTTCGTAAAATATCTACAAAACAAAAATCTGATGTCCAATTCATTTTTCAGAATCATAATTGTTCAAAAGGAAATACTAAAAGTAAATATTAAAATCTATAAGCTATGAAACAAATCCAAATTATTCAGTACTAATGTTTCTGAAATTAACAATGTTTCTGAATCTGAAATAGATTATATTGATCTATTGGAGAAAATTTTCCACGTCTGCAATGGTCAGTTTCGTCCATTGGAATGAGTGACAATTACAATTCCCAAGTGTTATGTCATTTACTCTGAAAACAATTCTGCTCATTTGATAACTGTTTCTTTTGGATTATCCACAACTTGTTCATATGTTTTCCTTTTTCAATTTTCATCGAATAAAGTATTTTCAAAATATAAAATTCAAGTTTGTCAGGTATACTCCAATGACCCCAAAATTACCCTCCGAGTTATTTGTCCTTATTTAGAAAATCGGATATCCCACTTACCGTATTTCCTCTAATAGAAGCCCATGGGCTTCAATTTTTCAACCTCCTTCTGGGGGTGGACTAATTTTAGAGAAAACACTCAAATTAGATGGTTTTCGGTTTTCAACTGAACTATTCAGAATAGTTATAAAACGACAAGAATTAACAGAAAGTACCGGAAAAATAAACAAAAAAGAGTAGGGATACCTTAACCGACAAGAAAAACGTACAGCCAGGGTGGGCTTCTATTAGAGACGGTATTTCAATTTTTCGAAACATTTTTCATTTTTCTGTAAATGGCAGAAAACTTTTCAGGAATGAGGAAACCGGAACATCAGTTTTGCGACTCCGAGCCAGCATGGTGCCAGTCACTGTGTCACTTGTGAGGAAAATCCAATACTGGATATTATTAAAGACAAATGAAATACTAGAGCTTTTATATGACATAGAAGTAGCAGGAGCTATTTCCAAAATAGTTTCTCTGATGTTTGTCTTGTAAAACATCTGCTCATTTTTCCATACATGACATAAAATTCAAAAGAAAATCAAAACTTACATTCCTTATTTCTCTGAAAAATGTGGCTTCTCGCCATGCAACTGGTATATGTGATTCCATCGGTTTTCCTGTATTCTCTAACAATTTGTACTGTAGTTGTAAAATGGAAAAGTTTCAAGTCATCTTTTTTCCAATTATATGTCTTTGACTTTTCAATGGTTTGTTTCATTTTTCATAATTTTTTTTGAACAACGCTTCAGAATGTTTTCACCCTTTTGAACACTTTCTATGTTTTCCGGTTTGCTAACTATACCTGTGACACATGTTTTTTGGCTCAAGTTTTTCAAAATCTAGGTAATATATTTCAGTGAAACAATTTCTAACACTTTTTCATCCATTCCAGACAATTATATAAATTCTTCGTTTCTCTATGCTGTTCAATACCACATGGCATATGTGCAATATGGATCTACATTAATAAATTCATTGAATCGACTTTCGGTTATTCACAGCTATGTGTACTTTGAGAAGGTAGATTACAGACCTCCTGATTTTCAGAATGCTGAAATTCAGAAGTGGAGAAATTACAGTATTCTTGCAATGGCTTTAATTGTGATCTTACCCATTCCTTGCACTATTTGGATAATGAGTTACGGAGCATGGTGGGAATACGAACCACCTCAATCTCGATACCTTTTACATTCTCCACTTGTAAGCGTTACCGTATTAAATCTATAATGTACACGTGGATTCAGGATCAAAAGTCCATCTCTATTGTACTTTTGCCCTTCATGGTGATCTCAACTGTCTTTTCTCTGGGTCTAAATCTCGTCAGTATGATTTTGGTCCGTCGAGTGAGTCAGCAAAGAAAAAAACTAGTGGGTAAGTCGCACTCTTCTCCAATTTCATAACCACTGACACTTTATCGTTTTCAGAGACTCATTTCCTCAAATTGATTGTCATCACCTGTGCAGTTCAAGTTTTGGGGACTTTGCTAACGGTATTTAATGTTAATTATGAAAAAGAAGGACGACGAATTTCAGATAATGTTGGGTGTGGTCTTTCAAACGTCTCTTCTGTTTTCACTGATAGTCTATTCGATTCCTTTCATCAGTGACTGTCTGACTTTATGTCATCCATGGCTTCTCGTATGGCTGAGTAAACCAATTAGAGACAGTTTACTGAGCATAATTAGACCAACACCAGTTGCATCGAGTATCTTGGTACTTGAAGCAAGACAAAATGAAAGGAGGTGAAATCTTCATAAGCCATCAGACAGGAGTTCGAAAGAAGATTGTCGGCGACATCCGATGTAATGGGGTTATTCAGGGAGTCGGCAAAAAAGGAAAAAAAAACTCCGCAAAAACTCGGAGAGTGTTCCAATCTGGCTGAAACTTTGGGGAAAACTGGAAAAAACTATTGGAAACATTTTGCCAAAGTTTGGGGTCAAAATATCGACTTTGAAAATTTGGCGGGAATTTCAGACAAATTTTCGAAGTTATATTTTACCGGGTACCGAGCTCGA